GTGCTGGGCGCCCGCCCCGGTGGGGCTGAGCCCCTCGGCAAGGGGTGTCCCGGGCCGGGGAGGTCCCAGCTGGGCTGTGCCCACTCCCTGCCTGAGCCGCTGCCGCTGCCACCCCCGGGAAGGGGCTCTGCCATGGGGCATCTCGGCACCTCTGGGTGCTGCCATGGCTGTTGTGAGCCTGGGGAGTGATACCAGCCGGGCTGTGATGCACTGGGAGCATTTCCCGGAGAAGCCTCTCGCCGGGGTGGTGCCCGTTGGGTCTCCCTGCCGTGGGCACAGCAGTGCCTGCGGCTTTCTCACCAAGGGGCAGAAGTAGGGGGCATTTTTCCACCCTTCCCAGCTGTCCCCAAGCTCTCTGGGTGTTGCAGGGGCCCATTGCGAGTGCCCTTTGTGACTCTGTTCCCAGCCCTGCTGTGTCAACACGGTGTTGGTAAATGGCTTTGTTTAACCAGGACATGTTGGGTATGTGACCTTGCAGCCCTCGTGGTTGCAAGCGCATCTCCAAAGCAGCTGCCGAGATCACCTCTGCCTGGCGCTGCGCTTTCCAGCCTGGCAGCTCCCTCGGGGTGGCAAGGGAGAGCAGAGCACGCCGGTGTCAGTCCGGCTCCCCTCAAGCTGTAGTGGCCGGACAGGCAGAGGATGGGGCATCACCAGCTGCCCAGCCAGCGCTGCTGAGTGTGCGTCCAGCAGTGTGCTGTGGGTGTCCTGACCCATGCCAAATTCAGTGGTTGCCCCTGTGATTTCGTTGGCTTTATCTGTGCATCAGAAAATTTAGGGCCCGCAGGACCCTCCTTGGCGTGTTAGTGCTGCCCCAGCTGCCAGCTCCTGTCCTTCCCACCAATCCCCGATCCTTTCCACACACTGCGGTGCAGATTTTTTTATGTTCTGTTGCCTGGAGAGGGGAAAAGAAAAAAGCCTGAACGGAGAAGAGGCAAAATGTGGATTAAAAATAGTTAATGAAAAAATGCGACCGCAAGCCCTGATCAGCAGTGCAGGGCTGAGACCAGCCGGCGTGCACAGCACTGCTCTGTGCGCCTCACTGTGCCAAGCAGAGGCAGAGGCGAAGGCAGGGTTTGGGCAAGCCGGGTACAGGGGAGATGGGACGGGCGCTCCCCTCCATCCCCCCGTGCTCCTCCATTGCATCCTGCCCTGTCCTGTGTCCTCCACGGCCAGAGCCCCTGTCCTCGTCTGTCTGTCCCAGCCCAGGGGGTCTGGAGAACTTGGCTGTGAGCAGCAGGTGCCAGCGGATGGCTGGGCACGAGTGCTGCCCTGCCGCACCGCCTGCCTCCGGCACGGCTGGTGGCCGGCCATGCCCAGGTGCTGCCGGTGCCTCAGGGCAGGGAGGGACCCTGCCAGGACCCCTCCCAGGACGGGCTGCTGTGTGCCATGTCACTTGCACATCTGTACCTCTGCAGGCAGGGTTTGAGCTCGCGCCTCCGTGAGGTACTGGGAGGTTATCCCGAGCTCCGTGGTGACCACAGTGTTCATTCGTGACACGAGCTGCTCGGGGGAGGCGGGTGCTGAGCTCCCAGTGCAGGCGCACATGCACGCACTCCTGTCTGTACTGACCTTTTCCTAGGCTTTTCCCAGTCCTGTGCTTCCCCTGTGACACGCTAACAACACATGTCACACCATGTCTCTCGTGCTGTCCTCCTGTGTTTCATGAGTTTTCATGAAATGTGATGACCAAGAAAAACCCGTTTCCCCAAGCCAGGACCAAGGTGCTGTGTGGCTCAGCGTCCCCTCGCCAGAGCCTGCTGGGCAGCAAGGTGATTTGACCACTGCCCGGCTGCGCGGTGGTGCCTGCAGACCACGCTCCCTCTCTGGTACTGGGCAGCTGGGGAAGATGCCCTTGACTGTCCCTTTCAGTACCAGGGCAGTCACGGAGGTGATACAAAGAGCGTTCCTCCTGACGGCACAGGGGTGGGTGCTGTTTGTTTGCATCTTGTGTTGCCATTGACGAAAATGCTGTCAGGGTTGGTTTAGGTTTTCTTGGTCCAAAGTGACACAGAATCCGACATCGTTGGTGCCTGATGACGTCGGCTCTCTCCGTGTGCCACTGCTCAGTGTTTCCACAACCAAATAGCTCTGTGCAAACGAGCTGCGGTCTTGCAGCGTGAGGGCTGCTCCAGGCAGTTCAGCTGTTCCTCCGCTGCCCGAGTTCCTCGTACTCACTTCACGGGGGAGGACTGGAGCAGTTGTGGGTTGCAGGTGGGGAGCGGCAGGCACCCCCAAGCGCAGGGCAGGGACACAGGCGGGGACAGCGCAGGGTGCAGGGTGGACCTCCTGGCCCTCCCTACGGTGACTGTCTTCCCCCACTACTTGTCCGCCTTGTCATGGTCCTGGGTAGAAAGTGGAATAGCATCTGCAGGGCCAGGCTCGCGCTGGCATTGCATCAGCTCTGGCCCTGCACCGTCCCCTCCCCTGCCAAGTGCCGAAGCCCCTGCCGCGCTGGCTTGTAGCGCTGAGCTCAAAGCCAAGCCAGCCGTGGAAAGCGCTGCATTATCGCACTGGGGGCTAATCCCTGCGTCTGGAGGGCACGCAGCCCCCACCGCCGCCTCCTGAGCGAGTGGTGCTGGCGGGGCAGAGGGCTGTGCTTACGGGGGCTGCGGTGGGCTGCGCCAGCTTCCCGGCGCTTGTGCGGGGCCGTGGCTGTGCCGGGGTGCTCCTGGGTCACGTTGCAGATGCCCATGGGTGTCCCCGCGGCGGCTTCAACCAGCCGCTGATCCATGTAGCAATCGGCTGCAGCGATCCCAGATGTGGAGCTCGTTCCCTCGCACGTGTGATGGCAGCCAGAGCCAGGCGCTGGCCGGGGTGGCAAAATCCCCAGGGGAAGCCCAGCTGGGCAGAGCTGGGCGCTCAGCCGGCTGCGGGGGTCTGCGTGGGCACAGAGCTGCCGCAGAGCAGCGCGGGGGCTGTACATCTGTAGGTGGGGGGCAAAATCCCAACACAAGCCTTTTCCCATCCATTTCCTACAGCTCGGTGTGATGCCGCAGCAGTGGCAGCAGCCCAGCGGCACAGCGTGTCCTGGTACTCGGCTCACCCTGTCCCCCCCCGGCTGCGCGCCCCAACCCCCCGCCTGCCAGCAAACCCGGGGCCAGAGCAGGGGGGGGGGAGCCACTGGGGGGGGGCAGGTCCAGGGCCACACAGAAGCTGGTCCGGGGGGAGAGAGTGTCCTTGCTCTGCCCCCACCGCTTCAGGGGTTGCAGTGCTGGCTCAGGAAGGGCTCAGCATGTCAACATGGGCACCAGTGACCACCCCAGTCCCCCCAGCCCAAGGGCAGATGGTGGTGCCTGGTTCTGACACCTCCAGCCCCCCAGCACTGGCACTGACCCCTTCCCCATGTGGGCACAGCTGTCCCGGAGCTGATTCCTCTTTCTTCCTCTCCCATCGCGGGCGCAAGGTCTCCCTCACCAGCAGAGCAGCATCAGGTGTTTGCAGCCCAGCCTCCGCGGAGGTCAGCAGCCGCAGAGCCATGACACAGGAACACGCCATGTTGCCCAACGCCAACGTGGGGCAAAAGTCCCCTGTGTGCCCACTGCAGTGTGCCACAGCCCCAGCAGACGCACCCGCTCACGTGCCGGGCACCCTCCACCCGGTGCCCACGGCTCAGGACGGCGGAGGCTCCCCTAAAGCCTGGCCCTGGGCAGGGGGATGCGGCAGTGGGAGCCGGTTGGGCACAGCAGGGTGAGGGGAGGTGGTGACTTGGAGCTATGTCCCTCCTGCGGTGCTGCTGCTGGCAGCGGTGGACATGGCAGAGAGGGGCTCCC